GACAAAAGTCAGCAGTCACGCGTGTTAGTATGAGCCCCTGAGAGCACAGCGCATGAAAGGAACCCCTGTCGGAGAAGAGTGTGCACAGAAGACCTGGACGTAACATGGACAGGAGCGACAGCTACCCGAAGCAGAAGCTCGGCTCTTTCTGCCATCTCAGAACCTGTGAAAGCATGATGGGGTTGAAATTCCCAATTAGATCTGGAAGTTCCTCGGCCATTCTTGCTGGCAATAAGCAGGGTCTCCCAAACCACAACGTTTCTTACAATGGAAGGTGTTTATGTTCGACATGAAACAGGATTCTCTTTCGGCAAGCGTTGTGCAGCTGTGTACGAGGCACCGGACAGCGCAGTGACTCCTGGTGGCAAACGTAGCGAAAGGAGGTCACCTCAGGACGGCAGACGCACTGCCGTCCAGTCGATGCGGACTCGTAGACTGTAACTCCTCACGGGAGTAGAAAGTCGTCCCTCCTTTCATTTTTCTGCGGGGGCAGCTGGCGATTTCGATCTTACTGACCTTGCCCTTAGCATCCCAATGGGTAACCACTAGGCCGCCAGAGCTGGGGGGTGGGGACTCAAGCCCTGGCAAGGGCAGCCGGATTCTGGCCAAATTCCAAAACAACCACCCTGCTAAGGCCATTGGCCATCACAGAATCCATGTGATACTGACTCCTGCAAGGATTTAACGTTATTAAAAGGCAACAATAAAATTGTGGATTTGGTTGTGTGTGTGTGTGTATGCATTTGGTTATTAAAAAGAAGATCCGTGTCCTCCTCAGTCCTGGTGAAGATAGGAAATAACTAACCACTTTGATTTCTGATAGGCTGGCCCCTCTTTTTCCTGTGTTCCAACTTTACAGGACTCTAAAGGAACGTATCCTTCGTTGTATTCGTTTAACAAACAAGGGTTAAGCAATGCTTCAAACACTCCGCTGCTAACGGAGAGGGTGGGGGCGTGAACCTCACCTGCAGCTTTCAGGGAGAAAGCCCTGGTGGTCTGATCCTGGAAAGATTGTTGTTGTTTGTGTCGTTGTTGTCAGGTGCCAACTCACAGCGACCAGACTTACAGCAGAAGGAAACACCTCCTGGTCCCGCGCTGTCTTCTCGCAGGAGTACTTATGCCCGAGTCCACTGTTGCAGCTACTTACTGTGTCAGTTCACCTTGTCCAGGGCTCTCCTCTTGTTCACTGCCCTCCGCTTTACCAAGCATAATGTCCTCCAGGGGACTGGTCTCTCCTGGTGACATGATTACAGCCTCGAAAAACCCAATGGGACAGTGCTACGCTGTCAGATGGGGTTGGTTAGGAGTACCTAACAACATCAACAACACCATAGCAGCAGCGAGCCTTTCTTGGTTGCCGCCCAGTGGACAATGACTCGTGGCGACCGTACGTGCAATAGAATGAGATATTGCCTGGACCTGCGCCGTCTTCCTATCTTTGGTTTGGGTCCCTTGTTGCGGCTGGTCTGTCAGTTCATTTTGTTGAGGACTTCTCTCCGTGTGTGTTAGTTGAAAAAATGTACATAGCGAATTAGTTCCTATTTAACAATTTCTATTGCCACTTGTTTCATGACGTTGGTTGCGTTTTTCACGATGACTCAACATTCTCATTACTTCCATTCTCCGTGTTCAGTTTCTATTCAGCTAGCTTTCCTGCCCCTCCTCAGCATCCCGTCCGTGTTCTAGGGTGAATGCTGATTGTTGGGTCTCGGCTACTCGTAGTTGATTGACTTCAGGGAGTACAGTGTGTCAGCGTGATTACGCTCACTTTATAAGCCAATCTAATTTGGATGAAGGGCGATCTCTGGGAGTTCCAACTTCAAAGGGTGTCCTCTTAGAACAGTAATCTTAGGGGTTCCTTTAGTCTCTATCGATGATTTAGTAAATCAGCCTTTTTAAGGAATTTGAAGTGTGTTCTACATTTCTCTTCCATCTCAACTGGGACCTCCTACTGTGTCCTCAGTCTGAACAATCAGTTGTTAGAGGGAGCGACTCCCCAGCTGGTTCTTCTCATCTCAGAAGGACCCCGGTTCATGTGGCCCACTCTGGGGTCTCCTTGCCTTTTCACGCTCCTTTGCACCAGATCAATAGTTGTAGCTTAACATTTTTCTTTGTTTCATACTGTGATTACCAAGTTGTCCACACAATGCTAGCTGCCAAGAGGCTTATAATCTAGAAAGGGAAGGTCGTCCCACCGTGATTAAGTACTGCCTTAGAAGGAGGTGCAGAGGGCTGCAAGAGGGGCCAGGTGGGACAGTGTTGGCCAAAGTCTCCTGATGCAGCTCACCACCCACTTCTTCTATTGGTCCTCACTCTTCTCAAGCTGGCTCTGTCCTCTCCTAACACTGGCCGCTTAGAGGTGCCCGGAAATCTTGGGTGAGGTTAAGTTCATTTCCATATGGCTCCTCACTGCCCCGCCTTTTCATCTGTTGTGTCTTGCTATACCATGTCTGTTTCCCTGAAATCCATGAATCTGACCTCGATTGGCCTGGATGCCACGGAGAGCCATTGCAAAGACCTGATCGCCCTTCAATCAGGTTTGACCCCTCACCCCACCAGCACTGGACAGGAAGGAGGGAAGAGGGCTTCGGTGTGATTCTTCCCTTCCCCCTGGTATTTTCTTCCACAATGGGGTAGCTGCCACACTCCAGAACATTCCCAGGGTACTCCTTAAGTTGCCCCATCGCTGGTTCAACTTGAAAAAGCTGCTCTGTAGTTGTGTGTCATCACCGTCTGTCCATGTGGCTCCAAGTGACAGGTGAGGTCTGCTTCCAGGTGAGTATTTGACGGGATGGCCCAGAGCAGCGCCTCTCTAACTTGAAGTGTGTCGGGGTCACCTGGAAGACTAATTGATGGTACCACTGCTACTTAGTGATAATGCTTAGAAAAGACACTTCAGAAGTACTTGGAAGGAATACCATCTGACCCGACTCAGTATGCACCCCAAAGAAATAAAGTCCCAAACTCAACCAGATGTGTGCAAACCCATGTTTATCGCAGCACTGTCTACAATAGCAGAAAGATGGAAACAACCAAACTGCCCACCTGGAAGGACTGGATAGATAAACTCTGATACAAACCTACAGTGGAATACTGCTCAGCCTTGAGAAACAATGGCCAAACTGTCAACCCCTCAGGACATGGGTGAATTTGGAAGTCTCATCAAGACAGATACTGTGTGAGACCACTATTAAACAAGGGGGGAAAAAATCAAGTGAAATGGGTTTTTCACACCAAAAGAAGTAGACTGTGGTGGTTATGGGAAGGCCATAGGTAATGGGGGGTAATGGGTTTGTTGGAAGTGGAGGTAGAAGCAGAAGGGTGGGAGAAGCCCTTGGAGGGGTCCTAGTAAATAATCAATGATGGCTGGGTCATAATGAAGCTCTTGCTGGGGGGCCAGTCATGGGTTAATGATCTTACATGGATTGTGACTTCATATTTATTTACAGTCCCACCCCCACAAAAAACCCCTTTGAGGAAGTACTACTATTATTATTACAGATGAAGAAACGGAGGCTCAGAGACATTCAGTTACTTGCCTAGATTGTATCGTGAATTGGCAGACTTAGGGATGAGAACCGCAGTGTCTCTGGCTTTAGAATCTCTGCTGCTACTGCCATTTGCACCGTATCTTCACATCCCTGTCAAATGTGTCACTTGTTTGCTTTTGAAGAGAAGCAACAAGAACGGTCAAGGTGTGAGGCACAGGAGGTGAGGGAGAAATGGTGAGGTTTAGGTTACTCTGCCAAGAAGGCTCGGTCAGTATATTGCTGTGTATCTTAAAAGTTAGGTGCCTGGGTGAGCAGAGAACCTGACTGAATCCCATTTGGTCTAGAGGCTGGGGCTCAGGGAACCTGTGTGGCTGGCAAATGGCTGTAAGGGGCCCAAGAAGCCTCGCTGAGAGTATTCTAAGTCAAAGCCTCTTCAAATGAAAACTGCGTTTTGCCCCCCACGGACATTGATTTCCTTCCCTCAGTCACCAATCTTTTCGTTAATAAGGCTTACGCTTTCTGATTACAGCCAGGACCTGAGTGTAAAGGCAGTGTCACCTCTGGAGGCCCAGGGTGGGCCAAGGTTATCCAGGGAGCTGACTTTTTGGACTGACGAGTGTCTGTTTAATTGCCCACATGAAGGGCTTGCTTGCCTGATCGGGAGGGTGCTGATGTTCAGATGCTGCTCTGAACCCGCAGGTAGCCCGACTCTCCTGCCCTCTGCAACGAACTCAATGTCACACACACGCCACCACCCCCACCTCCACCTCC